ATGTAAATATTTATCTGAATTCAATTGTTTCTGGCTTTTATTTGGTTTTGAATCTTTGTAGCAAAGATCAGAACAGATATTGTTCAGTTTATAAATTAGGCTTATTTTTGAAAGCTGCTCTAAATCTCTAGACCCTTGGTGTACCATAGTCCAAAGGTGAATTGAAGCCCTGTACTTAATCTTTATTCCCTCCTCAGAATTCATACTCTTTTGTTGACATTATCAGCCTCTCTGACCCTTATCTCAATAAAACCTCCCTTACCTATTGGGATTAACTTTCAGGAATGTCCTCTAAAGCCACAATGTTTTATTATCTACGCGGTTCCCAAAGAAGATAAGCAGGCAGAAAGTTGCCAGAAATAATCATCTCTGCTTAGACTCTTGTTTTTTACTTCGGTCAAAAGAAACAGTGACCTCGTGGTTTGGAATAGCTAAGCAGGAATGTGGGGCACTGAAGTGAGTCAATTGGATATTCAATATGTAGAGTAACACGTTGTGATTTCTTTCAGTATTAGATATACCCAGTTCTATGTCCCATTCAAGCATAGTTTGGAAATTTCAGCTCTATAAATATTTGAGATCATGCGTATAACTGCATCACTCAGTTAATTTGGGTAATAGACATGTTTAATGCTTCTTCAGATTTAACAAACTTTTGGGGATTCTTAGTATCGTTGATCACATAGATGTGATCTAAGTGGAAAAGGTTCTCAAGAAGCAGATGATTATCTGGGGTCTGTCTCTGTGTAGTTTCTGCTGCCCCAAATTTCTATGCCCCCCCTCTTTTGTTTTTCACTTTTTATTCTCTGTTCCTTCTACTCCAGTTCTTATTCTGTCTGCTTAAACATCTTAGAGATTACACTTCCATCCAGGCACAGAGTCATAAGGATGGCAGGTTCACGAGGTCGATGCTGGACAGACTTCTGTTCTCCGGGGCACATTCTCAGAAAGCCTGGGAAGAGGCCCTGCAGCAGCGTGGTTCCGTTCCCGTGGTTACAGCCCCAGCTGCCGCATGATGGCAGTCAGGTCCCACGCTCGGTGCCTTGTCACTTCCACTCCGTTGCTGCCTTTTTCTCAAATCCTTAATACAGATTTTCTGACACATAAAATAAAAGTTGTTTGCCAACTTTACAGCAAGAATCCCTGTTAAAATTCTAAATAATGGGTTTTGATTTTCAAAACCGTGCTGCTTTATTTAACTATCCCACATATTAGACATGTTGCTGTGACTTTCATTTCTAGGACATCCCTCTGTGTGTCTTGTTCCTGTGTTCCCTGAGGAAGCCCGAGAAACAGGAAGGACAGGCAGAAAAGAGGGGCCTTCTCCCTGTGGCTAGTAGACTATAATTTTTAGACTCTGGGGAAGATGAAGAATTTCAAGAAGTTTTTCCCACGTCAGTGAGGAAACATGGAAGCACACGTGTTTATTCTGACCAGTTGTTAGGTGCAGAAGCTTAGGCAGGTGAAACCTGGGGAGTCCAATATGGGGGAACGTTGTCATGGCCAATCTGGGACCCAGCTCTGTCCGTGCAAAAGTGCCGCATTCTGGCCCAGACTAGACTCTAGCCCTGGGCTCATCCTTATTACCTTCCTGTGGTAGCTCTTCTTGAAGTTTCCACCATTAATCAATATTTCTGCTATTGCTCGGAGCTCATTCTAGTTTAAATAACCTTATCTCTGCTATAGCCCTGAACCAAACTCGTTTAGCAGAGATTCACCAGAGAACAGGATAATGGAGGCCAGATGTGCTAAGTATCGTATATTGTAGTTCACAGAATAGTTACTACAGGTTTGGGATATTTCCATTTCCATGACTGTTTTGGAGGAGGAGGAAATGTTTCTTGGAACTTAGTGCTTTCACATTATATATGTTAATGTGGAAAAAGCTTTGGCTTTAAGTTAGTAAAAGAGTCTTTTTGGATTATTATGCAGTTCACAGTCTATTGACGAAAAGAAGGGAAAATAAACAGCAAATAATCTGAGACGCAAGCAAAGAACACAGACGTAGAAATTATTCAAAGATTGGACTTCTGTCACCTGTCCATGTCAGTGACTTTTGTGGACATCATAGCCTCTGTGGTACCTGAGTGGGCAAGCTAGTGCATGTGGATTAAAACGACACTATGAGGACCCCAGAGAACTATATCTAAGTAAGGGAATAAATCTTCTCCATTTGAACTATGTTCACGTAAGCATGTGACCATCTCATCCTGGCCAAACGGGAGCCCATATACACATGACAATACAGATGGCAGAACAGGTTTCTGATGACATACCAGTCATAAAGCTCAGAAGAGCTTCTTTCTTAACGTCGTCATGCCTTGTCTAGAATACTCAACTCTTGTAAAAGAGATTAATTAGGAGGGAACTTAATATGCTGTTTGAATCTGTCTTTATAAAATAAAGAGGTAGTTAGGTATGACTTGAGGGCAAGACACTCTTCCTCCATGCCTGCTAATAGTGACAGCTGGAATTAATATATCATTTCTGTAAAAGCATAGGGATCATGTTGCTATTTAATAGGAGAAGAAGCAAAGTCAAGTCCTAAATCAATAGGAGGAAGTAAAAAGCTCAGGACCAGTTATGAAGTGCCTAATATATGGGAGGCACCATTTAGTGTTTACACATTGTCTGATTTCATTCTCAAAACAATCCCTGTGAGGAAAGTATCTTCCCTATTTTATAAGGAGGATTTGAGACAGGAAAACAACATGTTTATAGTCGCAGATAGTAAGTAGTAGATAAATAATTTAATCCTAGTTCTGTTTAATTCTAGAACTCACCCAAAAGATTTTAAATAGAAAATCAAACCCTAGATTTTTAAACAGGATATTTAAATGGCTTACATAAGAAAATAATGTTACTTATTATTTTGCAATCAGAAACACACTAAATAAGATGGAAAAATTAAGCCTACGTGTATCGACAGTTCCTTTTGTATCATGTTTCCTAGCAGGGAGCATTAGCGGGAAGAGGGTTGCTCTAAAACATCTGTTTGTTACACCTTATACAATAGTCAATTCTTAGTTTGTTTCAGTTGGCAATAGAGGGTGCTATACACCTTCTAGATTTTTGCACAGAAGCATGCATTTCTTTTCCCACTCCTGTCTGTTTATAGTCACTACCTCCCTTACCTACATTGTAGTCAGATTAGTCTTTTGGTTTTGGTGAAGTTCTGGCATGTGCTGAGTTTTGGGTATCTCTGATTTGTATTAATGAGACAGTTTCAGTTCTCTTGTATTTTGCCATGAGATGACAGAGTTACAGTACTCACTGGTTTCTGTACAAAGCAGAAAAGTTCAAATGAACATTGTTTTTATACATCCGATCTTTTTTTCTGTTAGTGAGAGAGAGTATGCTGCTAACATAGGCAAGAAGGAAAAAGCACTGTTTACAGAATAATCATCCAAAGAATGGAAGGACAGGATTTTTCAGGTTTTGAACTCCATGTACTTAGCCTGCCTGGTTGATTTCCTAAACCCTGACTTTATATATGTTTCCTAAATGGTTCTTTGTCAGGAAGACTTTACTGAATGCATCATCAGTTACGTCTTTAAAATGTAGACAAGTTCATGTGTATGTGTGAAATAGCAGAGGTATTATAGACACTGTTCATTTAGAATAAGTACTTGTATATTTATGAATATAGTAGTAAGGAATTAGGAAAAAGAAAGATCTAAAAACTTGTTAGAAACTTTATCAGGAAAGGTGTAAATCATAAATCAGAAGGTAATTACATTACTGTAGCATCTATATTCCTGAGGGTTCTGTGTCAGTCAGTGCAGTTTGGGCTGCAAGAAACATAAGGCCCAATTCAAAATGCAGACTGAGACGTATCATCTCAGAAAACAAGAGGCCCAAAGTTGGTGAATTCAGAGGCTCGATGCTGTTGTCAAGAAACCCATTCCCTTCCTTCTCTGAGCTCTTCAGCCCTCAGTCCTGATGGCAGTGTTTCTTACTCACTAGCATCCGAAGGCCAGGAGAAAGGTGGTCCCTTACTTTCGTTACCTTTTAAGAACTAGAAAAACTTGCCCATGAGCTCTCTTATCCCCAACTGATTCCTCTTTGCCCTCCTGTTAGGAGAGCAACAGTTTGTTCTAACCTCTTAGAATTATGTTACTTTCTCATTCCAAAGCCAAGCCCTGGCCAGGGTGAATGGCTTAGAGACAGGATTTGTCCCTGGGGCTAGGGAAGGACCTAGTCTTTCTTCCAAAGCACACAATCTTGGATGATTTAATAAAATGGGGTTATGTTAGCAAGAATTCTGTTAGAAATAACTGTTGGGTAGGCAGCCAACATTGTCTCCTAAAACTTATAGGTACCTTGCTAGAAAATCAGTTGGGGAAGCATGTCCTAGTTTTTGCTTGCTCAGAGAAGAAAAAAGTGCCAGATTGCTTAACAAACTCCATTAACTTAAGTCCTGTCAATCTATGTGTGATTAAAGATAATAAAACTATTTCAGATGTAGATCATAACTGATTTAATAATGTCCTCTTTTTTTTTCAATTACCTGAGGCATTTCTTTTATCTAATATATACTTTCCTTGCTTTGGGGTGTGGTGGGGTGGAGATGCAGTGAGGTAGCAGAGTTGCTAATCACTGTTTCTTCCTGATTGATGTGGGGGGGGAATTATCAAGCCCATTATTTATTGTTTTCACAAAATATGAGGCTAGAACCTGTTTCTACTCCTACCCCACCCATTAAACATGTAAAAAATTGAAATTGTCGTCTCTAGAACACCAGGCATCTACCTACCTAACCCATGGCACACTGCAACCCTGGACAGCTGGAATAATTTCCATGTGTGCAGAGTGGTTGACCTTCTGCCTGAAGCTAGCCTTGCAGACGTAATTTTTAACTCTTAACTGCTTATGTAAGGTTGTAAAGGCTCATGCACCGCTTGCATTGGTAATCCCTAGTACTCTTGTGTTTGTGAATAATAAAGAGATGACTTCTGGTATTTCTAGGTAACCAAAACTTTTGTTTTGCCCATCCTCAGGGAGATGCAGGTCAGCTCCTCCAGCACCACAACTTCTGAAAGTCAAGATCCATCTTCTGGAGATCCTGCAGTCAGTGCCCTTCAGCAACAGCTGTTACTAATGGTGGCTCGGAGGACCCAGTCAGAAACCCCACGGGTTAGTACCATGCAGAGTTGCTGTTCGTGGATGTTGTGGAAGGAGGGGATCTTCAACCCTGTTTCCAGGTTGGATGCCCTGGTCTATCACTCATCGTAGTCTACTGAGTGAATGTGAAGAGAGACCACTTAGATAAACAGGTCACCTCTGTTGATATTAACAGGATTGCCACTGTCTTAATTGTTTTCCAAAACACATTAGAAATTCATTCACATTGATCTTTGGTTTCTAGGATGTGCAAATCTCTCAAGAGCTTGCCGGCTTAGGTTGCTTTTCTCCCCCATGGTTTGGAAAATATTTGTTTTTTTGGAAAAATTAATTCATTATGGTCTTGTGTCTTAAGCATTCAAAGATTCTTAAGTGTTTGACTTGAAGAGAGACTTTATTCTTGAGACAAATGACATTATCATCAAGACATCTAAAATATGAAGCCTTCCATTATTTTGCAAAGAGATAATTTATTAACGTTCATTCACTTATCCAGTGAACCTTTAATGAGACTCTAGGGAGGCAGAGCCAAGGCTTCAAAGCCAGAGATAACATGGGAGGTTAGACACACACCCAGACAGGAAGTTGGAGCTGCAGATTCAATCCAGAGTGTTTCAGAGGAGGGGGAAAGGGGGTGGCTTCTCAGAAGGGACACTTGGGTTAGACCTTGAAGAAAGGTGGGTTTCTGTTGGTACATACCGAGGGGAGAGAATTACAGACAGGATAATGTCATGTTAGTGTGAAGTTTTTTTTATTTCTGTGTTTACCTTCTTCCTGCCAATGTTTCAGTTCATTCTAGAGAAGCCTACCTTTTAAAAAATAATACTTTTATCTTTGTTTTTATGATAGCTTAACCAAAGTTTTCCAAAGGATGCTCGATAATACAGTGGATGGAAATTTACACACTATTGCTCAGATGTGCAAGAAATTGTTGAATTACCTTTTAACTGACCATGTGTTGCTCTGGAGCCCTGATTCCTACTGTTGTGGGGAGTGCGGGGGCGACTTGACTTAAAAGTGCCAGTTAAGGGTAACTCAGTCCTTTCAGGCTTGAAGGAGTTTCTGTGGGAACCAATATTTAGCCCATTCAAAGAATCAGCCTTTCAAGATGATTTCCTCCCTTTTATGTATTCAGGCTCACCTCCCTGCTCTCCTTTCCAGGACCTCTGGGTACAGGGGATGACATTCCTGAACCCACGGGGGGAAGTGGAGGTGAGAGGGGCAGCTCTGGCGGCGGAGCAGCCCTCAGGTACCTACACCAGCCTGGTCACTGGGCGTGCTGTGTGGTGCTCCTGCCTGGTTTGGCTGTGGTGCTGGGCCTGCCACTTGCTGACCGCCAGAGACCCTGCCATTTGCCCCCAGCTCTGAGGCATTCTGCAGCTCCCTCCTCTCCACCCATCTCTTTGGGCTCACCAGTCTTTCCTGTGCCTTGGGGGGCCTCAGACCCCAACTGCATACTTCACGCGTGGTGCCCTGTTCAAGGTCTGTGAGGCCCCAGCCTCAGCTCGTTTGTACTCCTCACAACAAGCCCCTGCACATGCGGGACCCTGCACAGTGTGCTTTCTCTGAGAAACCTGCACTTTTTTCAGAAACAGGCATGGCGAAGCACCCTTCCCCTTCCAGAACATTAGCGTTGAACCCCCAAGAAAGTTTGGTAAAAACACTGAGATAGTTTGGGAAGACATGAAGACCATTGATTCCATGAATAGCAGAGCCACAGGGAAACTAGGAACTTTTAATTATCAAAGGTACAAATCTATTGACTTAATATCCCAAAAGCATCCTGGTTAGAACAGAAACTTGAAAATAAGTAAATATTGCAAGAATAAATCAGAAACAGTTACCCCGCTCCCTATTTGATATTTAAAATTCTATGAGTGGAATGATAATGTAAATGATGCATAAATTCCTCTGTAGTGTTTCACTGTTAGTCACTTAACCAAATTCGTTGACTACTTCAACCTTTTTAACTTTCTTAATTTTAAGTAAAATTTTTAAAAATTTTATATTTTACTATATATGCATATAGGCTGGAAAATGAAGACGACTATCCCGTCTCATATTTAGACCCTGAGTAAATATTTACAAAGGTCTCATACTAGAAAAAAATTTTTTAGTTCTGTTTAGTTTTTTTAAATTTAGTTGATATCCCTGGGAAATTCAATTAGATTTCAGCCACAAAATAAAAATAAGTTGGTTTCCTGCTCATTATCCAACAAGTATTTATTGTGGACTGATGGTGCCTTCAGTCCTATGCCAGGAGGTGGGTACAATGGTGGAAAACTCTATTTGACAGAGATTATGATGGCAGTGGGCTCAGATGCAGTGGGACACAGAGAAAGCCGCAGGCCAGGAAACGGGATCAGAGTGGCTTCCTCAGCGAGGTGACGCCTCGGCTTAAGCGTGGAGGATGAGTTGAAGTTAGCCAGATAAAAAGGAGGTAATAGTATCTAGGCAGAGAAACCTGGCCAAGGGCCATGAGACGGAAAGCCTCATGTTCCTGGAGCCTGGAGGCACAGGGGTAACAACAGGAGGAGCTATTTCTTAGATAGGTCCTGCAAAAATAGGGCTCTGAAGATGACTGTTTAATCACTTCCCTTCCCCCATCCTCCCTCCCTCTCTCCTTGAGTGCAGCATGTGAGCACGCCCCCCACCCCCACCTCATGCAAACTCTTCTAATTCCGCCAAAGAACCAGTTCTCCAGGGTGCGTGGCTAGGAGGTGCCAAGGCCAGAGAAAAGACTTGTCTGAAATTCTTCCCTGGCACAAATAAAGTGTGTGTGCATGGAATGAAGTAGCTCTGCGAGGGCAGCTTCCAGAAGTTGCTGGTCATCTTCTTTTTATAACATGCAGAAAAGCGAGGAGTTTCTTTTCTTCATCATCATTGCAGAGCCAGTGTCCAGGCACAAAGGGAAGGGCAAAGCTTGGGGCGCGATTGGAACTGGTGGAAATCGATCCTTTGAACTTGAGATCGGCATTCAGGGCTTTTAAAAATTGCCAATTACAATATTGGGTGAATCCATGTTATAAACTGGTACTTCTCTGTGCCTGTGCACATCATGTGCTTCTAACCCCACAAGGTATACTCTGTAGACTGATTACCATAACTTTTAAAATCTTTCATTTTCCCTTTATGTTATGTGGGCCAGTACTTGAATAATTGCCTTGAAACATTTTCTTTGTTACACTGCTGGTTGAGAGGTAGACCAGTCTACTCAAGAGCACCGTTGGATCTGTAGGAATACAGCATTTCTGCTTCCCTCACCTGGGTCTGGGCTCAAACTCATTCAGCTTGTCTCACATTAAACATGAGATTGTATCGTATGTGAAAGCACTTTGTAAACTCTAAAGCTCTATGTGAGTCTGTGACAGTGGCATTATTATTATGGGTAGCATGAAAGCCAGGCAGTTCATTGGTCCTGAACTGATCAGAATTGATGAGAATTGCATAGAGCAGCACAGCACTAGGCCTGGCCAACTGTTATTCTGGGTTAGTACAAAGGTAGCATTTATTATACATCATACTTTGCTATTAGAAAATTAATGAGAATTCATAAGAATATTGACATTTACTAACAGGCAAAACAGTTGAAATAATTATATAGATCAAAGAGATGAGTGATCAATTATAATACCATATTTATTTTTCATCATATATAGTCTTTTATTTGAAAGTATAGTAAGGCTTTAAAAAGAAAAATGAACATTTGCATACTTTTCATTTATCATATTTAGAAGTTCATTTAAATACAGATGCTTGACTTATGATGGGGCTGGGCTGTCCCCCTATGAAAATGTCTTAAGTTGAAAATGTATTTAATATACCTAACTTATCCTACAGTGTAGCTTAGCCTAGCCTACCTTAAACATGCTTAGAACACTTAACTGTAGCCCACAGTTGGGCAAAATCATCTAACACAAACACTGTTTTATAATAAAGTATTAATATCATATATCTCATGTAACTTATTGATATTCTACTGATTGCCTATTACTTTCACACCATTGTAAAGGTGAACAATTGTAAATCAAACCATTGTAAGTCGGGGACTGTCTGTAATGTGTTTAGAATCTATATGATTTGTTATGAATTCTGGCTGCTTAATAGAGCCACTAATATGATAGTATCATCCTACATTTGTTTTATATGCTCTGTCCTTCAAAGTGTTGTTCTTACCTAGACACAATTCACATTCCACTTGCATGTTTTGACCACTAGTTGTGTGCATGGCATTGTCCTGGATACTCTCATATTTCCCTTATTTTTATGGGAAATGTTGGGGGTCAGGCATTATTTCACCTGGGGTTTGCTATCTAAGGAAACTGCAGTTGCAGAGGGTCCTGGTACTCTGGGCCCTGGAGGGACCCTGCCTCGGGGTTCCTTTCCATTTGTCCTTCAGTCACTACTGCGTTCTCCAGTTCTCACATCCTGCTTGGCAGCCTCTGCTGTGATTTCTCCTGAGCCCACTTCTGACCCTGCGGAGTCCTCACCAACGGCACCTTCCCAGTGCTGGGCTTGGGAGCCGTTAGGCATCGCACACGGTGCCCCAAAGGACCACCTTGTATACTGTCTGCTCTTCACCGTTCTATCCTTTCTGCCTTCCCCTGCCCTTTCAGGCAAAACCTACACAGACCTTCTGAGAACCTTTAATAATTTCAAGATCCCCCCAAAAGAAGGTCTACAATGTAAATCCATCTGAGCCTGTTCTAACTTCGGGGAGGTTCCATAGAGCTGATCACTTACTCTCTTCCACAGAATAGGCCTTCAAATCTGTTTTGGTTTTTATTAGATATGGTTCATCCTCAAAGTCACAAATCTGACTTTAAATTTCCTTTAAATAACATTACTTGTAACCCATTATTCCTCATTCTAATTATTTTTGCCAGTGTCCATTAACTGGTTTCCTTTTCAAATTTGTGTTTTCAACTTGTTCTTTCACAGCTGGACTCATATGTATTGTCTCTTGAGCTCTCTTTGTTTTGCTGCAAAGGTGGCTGTCACTTTACTGATGAGCACTGCTCTGTGTGTGGATTCACCTGGGCCCCCTTAAGCAATGTTGCAGAAAGAGCCCAGGCTTGGGCTTCCCGCAAACCTTTTCCTAATGTAGGACCTTGGGCCCGTGACCTGACTTCTCAGAGTCTCAGTTTCTCAGACTTTAAATGGACATAATAATACCCACTTGGAAGAGTTATTGCAAGCTTTTAAAGATTACAGATAATATATGGCAAAATTCTGACTTTAATAATTGGTAGCAATTATTAATGTCAAAATTCTTATTAGTTATCTGGAACTGTTGAAGGTAGCATTATTTTGAATGGTAGAATTTTTCAGATATCTAGCGAGTGCGTAGTCTTTTACATTCTTAGATTTTTTTTAATTCCACCAAAAATATTTCTAAAAGGTACTCTGTGCTTCCCTGCCTTTTTAAATAGGATATACTGATAATAATCTAACCTGTTCTTGATAATTCAGATTCATTAAACGAACCTTGGGTATTTTGCTACAAACACGTCTGTATGGGGATGCAATCATCTTGTTTTTTAAAAAGAACCAAAGCTTACCTTGTACCCTGTTCTCCCTCCTTCCCTTTTTCTAATCTCTGTTTCAGAATACTAGAATTAAACTTGCAGGCCTGACTTACTGGGCAATGTGAAACAGTTGTTCTTTGGAAAGGCTTAATAACTCAGAAGCATAAATAGCTTTTTTGTCAGTTTGTTCATGCATTCATTTTTTTGTTATTTAGGCCACTTTAAGTCATAGATATAAAATGCCTTCTCAGACTCCATTGTGGGTCCTCAGGCCTGCCAGCCCCTTCATTGCTGATCATTGCTCATACCTTCCAGGGGCTCTGCCCAAGACCCTTTGCTCCACGTGCTTTCCAAGGGTAGCAGTCCTGCTCTCCCTCTCTCTCTCTCCATAGATAAATAGTAAATACAGATACAGGTATGTTTATACTTGTGTGTATGATGATGTTATGGCCAGCTTGCTTGTCTATTCCCAGAAATTTCTAAACCCCTTTGAGGTAGAAACTCTTTCTTGTTATCCTTTCAATTTTCAGTATATATTACATATAGTTATCTGCCTTGTATAATCTATGCAATAAATATTTTGTTGGATGAGTAGAAAAATGAATGATATTAAGATGATGAGAAAAATTTGGATTTGAACTTGAATTTGGTACCAGAAAACAGGCAAAGAATAATTGCTGTAATTCATCAAAACATGTAGCACTGGGCTTCCTTGGTATCTAGGGGAAAAAATGAAATTCTGTGAACCTTACTTTCCCATAAAAGAAATTAAATCATTTCTTTTTTTCCATTAAATTATGAGTTTTTTTCAAATAAGGATTTTCATTTAAGCAATAAACAGCACAGTATGCCAAAATCATTAATAAGTTTTACAAAAACTGTAAACATAGTCTTCATGTGATTTTATTTTATACTGACCTTTTCTAACAGGTGAGGTCCAGGGGTGGGGAACCTGTGGCCTCGGGGCCACATGTGGCCCTCTGGATCCTTGAGTGGGGCCTTTTGACTGAATCCAAATTTTACAGAACAAATCCTTTTATTAAAGGGATTTGTTCTGTGAAGTTTGGATTCGGTTGAGGGGCTGCACTTGGAGATTTAGAGGGCCACATGTGGCCTTGAGGCAGCAGGTTCCCAGTAAGGGTATAATATGAAACCTCAATTTAAGGAGGTGTTTTTCTTGCTATGGAAAGAATGCCATCATCTTGGCTGTTGCTTACTCTGGCCCTATTTACGCATCATACGTGGATTCCCACAGCACAAAGACAGTAAACCATGGGCACCTGTGCACCTTTCTTACATTCTTTGCCCATGGGACATCAAGGAAAAGGACCCATTTTGGGGGGAAGTTTACTATCAACCACAAGTTCATCATCATTCAAACAAAAACTATGCTGACATGACAGCAGACAGCTTCCACAAAGCTCTCTCATGTTGGAATAGAATTCCAGGCACAAGTGGCACTTACAATCTCAACTTTCCCATAATCATTCAGTCCAGCTCATCCTGTATATTGCCTTCATGAGGGATCAACTTTCCCTCCAAATGCCTTTTGCATTAATATTTGATATCTGGAATAACTCTAGTCTGTGAGCTGAGTCAGTGGATCAGCCTCTGGAAGTGGAGCGATGGTACAGTCTGCTTCCTTGGAGAGTTCTGCAGTGGTGTCTACTGAAGCAGCTGCACTGCCCTCATGCATGCCAGGCACTTTGACATCGATGACTTCCCGGGAATTAGGGAAATGTCATGTAGTCTGCCCATGTGCAACCTTGTGCTTTATAAGCCGAAGAAGCAATGTGGGAGGCCTTTGAAAGTCAGTGCCACCTCCGCAGCTGCTCTTCCATCCCATCCTCATCCCTTTTCTTGTCTTTGCATTCTTTGTAATCTCCTATGTCTTATGTTTGTCAGTCCAGAGGAAATTAGAGCCTTAAACACATTTTGGAAAAAAACAAACAAATAAATATATAGTTTAGAATAATCCAGCAATTCTACTTCTGGGTACCTATGCAAAAGAATTGAAAGCAAGATCTCGAAGAGATATGTGCACACTCCTGCTCATAGCAGCACTATTCACAATAGCTAAAGAGTAGAAGCAACTGGAGTATCCATTGACAGATGAGCAGATAAACAAATGTGATAAATACACACAATGGCTTACCATTCAGCTTTAAAAAGGAAGGAAATTGTGACACATGCCACAACATGGATGAACTTTGAGGACATTGTGCTAAGTGAAATAAGCCAGTCACAAAAGGACAAATACTGTATAATTCCACTTATATAAGGTACCTAGAGTCAGATTCATAGAGACAGAATGGTGGTTGCCAGGGGCTGAGGGGAGAGGAAATGGGGAGTTGTTCAACAGGTACAGAGTTTCAGTTTTTGAGATGACAAAGTTCTAGAGATCTGGTGCACAACAATGTGAATATAGTTAATACTGCTGAATATTACATTTAAAAATGGGTAAGATGGTAATTTTTACGTTATTTGTATTTTTATCACAATTAAAAATATATACAGATTAGAAATAGCTCTGCAGGGAGCGGGGCATTTAGAGAAGGCTTAGGGATAGTAGCGAGCAGTGACAAGCGATGGCCAGATGGTGAAGGAAATGAATGAGAGCTTTGGTTGTAACAGCCTCTGTGCACGGAGGACAAGAGACAAAGCATTTAATGCAAGGTGAGATATCCAATAGGAAGCACCTCGCTTAAGGTGGGACCTGACTGTTAGGATTAACCAAACACATTCTGTCATCACCACCTTCACTAAGAGGACTGAGGGGAAAACTGCCTGTTCCTCGCCTTGTGCCAGGTCCCTCGTTAAGTATTTGATATATAAATCAATGAATATTAACTTTTTTTTCAAAATTGAAATCTTTTCCACTGGATTGGAGCTAGTCAGAGATGAATTTGGGGTTAAAACTCTAAAAATCTGCATCTGAATTTCCCTACATGTTTCAATTTTACTAGTTTAGATTTTTTTTTCAAAACCTATTTCAGTTTTTTTAATAGCAGGCTCCACCAATGACCTAGATATCGGCAGTGAAAATCTTTTTACTCTTAGTAAAATTTGAATATTTTTCTCAATGTTACATTAAGTAGCACAGTTTTCAAAAATGAAGTCATTTAAGATCTTTTGTTGAATTCTTATCTTTCATAAACACTATTTTTACAGCAGTTTCTTGGCCTTAATGAATGGTAGCATTTTCAAGAGACCAGTAGCATAATCTTAATGGTATGCTATAGTGGAATTGAAGTGTGTTGGTAAGAAAGACCTTTTTTGTTATCATTTTCTTAGAATATTCATTTTAAATGAAATATGTTTAAATTTCAGAATCCGAACATCTGCTCTTATATTTTTAAATTCTGAAGTATATTTGTGGCAATGGCATGACAATATGAAACCCTTTCTCTGTTGTTTCTTTTGGTATCTAAAAGCATGTGAGTCAGGATCTGGAAGACTCGTCATGTTCTTCAACACAAGGAAAATTTAACCGAGAGCAGTTTTACAAATTTATCATTTTCCCTGGCAAGTGGATTAAAGTCTGGTACGATCGACTTACCTTGTTGGCGTTACTGGATCGGTAAGCGGCTGAGCATGCAAACGTACAATCGAAAGACACAACGATTGCATGCTTTTAAAAAGAAAATTGCCACTTGCTTAGGTTCCCTAGAATGTTTTCAGGCTGTTTTCAACCTCTTTGCTGCCAATCCAAAGTGAAAGCCAGTAAGATCCTGAAAACGTAAACAATTGTAATTTAGCAGTTATAATGGGAGATATGAGAAATGGGTAACATGGTTCATATTTAAGGTTAGCTTTGGGGACAATGTTTTGCTTTGGTCTAGTCATATCTTGCCCCATTTTTGTAGGAAAGCTTGAGGCTCTGCCTTTGACACAGGGCCTGGCTTGACTGGGTGTGGGCGTGGGGAGAGGAGGGGGCTAAAGCGGGTGATTTCCACCTTTTCCCCAGACAAGTCAGATTCTCACTGCTCACCGCTGCCTGATGTATACTAACTTAAATGCTAATCTTTCCCTTAAACGCTTTTCCTCTCTCCTTTGATTACCATTGCTTCTCAGGATAAAATGCTGTAGGGCCAGAGATGCGGTCACTGGCTGGGAAGGCAGCGGAGGGAGGTTAAAGTGGGGTAAGGCATGGTGGAGATGGGGCTAGGTAAGGGTTTCCCATTTATGTCCTCCTCTACCTCAAGATGTGCCAAGGACGGTACTATGATCTTCAAGGGCTTAGTAGCTCCCACTGGAAGGTTGGTTTAAACACTCAAGATGCTGTTACTGACGCTGCCTAAGCGATTGCTGAGTTTCGCAGTTTAATGCCAGCCAGTGTGGGCAATGGGAAACTGGTTGCCTGCCCTGTTTTGGGCCCCCAGTGACTGCTTGTTGTAGTGATGTCTTAAACAGTATGATCATATACAAAAAAACCGTAGTCATGCAAAATTATAACAGTAAATTTCAGGACTCACAAGTCAGGGAATGGAGTTATGATGAGCTTTCCTAACAACACTATGTTACCCAAGGGGCACACACTTAAGAGTAATATTTAATACTTAACTAATAATCCAAGATAATACATTCTGCTAAATGAGGCATTTTCTTGAAATATTATTTTCTGTTACAAAAGAATTATTGAAAGTTGGACTAGCTTGTGTTAACCCTTCATATTAAAAACAAATATTTCTATAGATGTCTATGTTTGTTATTTTGAAATCTACTTGGTGACAAAAAATTAACTCAAAATCCAATGGAGGTCTAAAAAAGGATGATAAAAAAGATGACTGTGGTTTTTAAAATTCATGGTTTTATGGTTTTAATCACCTTTCTTGCACAATGGGTTTTTAGATTTTATGCTTAGGAATGACCTAGAAACAGCACCACTCCCTCTTCCGTAGATCCTTTAGTTGGTGTGGGAGCCCCTGGGCTCTGGAGGCAGCCCTTGGAAGTCAAATCCAGTCCCCACTATTTATTAGTGCTGAGATCTTAGGATGGCTATGAAACGTTTCAGTGCCTCGGTTTCCTATCTGTGAAATGGGGAAACCTATACCATAAGGAAGTTATGAGGATTAAATCACCTTAGCCCACTGAAAGAATTCTTTAAATATCAGTTGCTGTTATTATTATTATTATTATTACCAGGAATGTGGTCCAGAACTCAGAAAGAAGAAAAATGAATTAAAAAAAAGAATGAGGGTAGCCAAAATAGACACGGTCAAATCCAGATACTAAAATTTAGACCTTAGCCTACTTGAAGTCATCTGTTAGCAGGATTGGTGATCTGGCTTTACAGTTCAGAGTCAATTAAGAGGAGGAAAGAGACTGCATGAACCTACAGCTCACAGCAAAGAAGGAGGAAGAAACCCAAAACACTGAGAAAACCTGGGCAGTTTGGGAACATTGCAGGGAGAGTGTAGTCCCCAAACAGGGCAGGGAAGCTCTGCAAAAATGCAGATTCCCAGGCATAAGACATCGCCACTTCAGTGCAGCCTTCGTGCTGGGGGCCTGGGGGCAGATTAATGCAGTCCTTCCTGGTGGAGGAAAATCTGGGGGAAAAATACTTTTTTAGGGACTTTATTCCTTCCCTCCAAATAGAAAAAAGTTTTGTTTTTCCTCCTTTGAAATTTCTGTTTCATTTTATTTCCAAGACTCTTAGATATTTTTCAGTGTACATCAAGATGTTATGAGCACACTGAAGAACACGTAATGAATTTTCTTATATGAACCGACACTAACCAAATAGATTTAGCTTTATTAAAAGTGCATAGTGGAAAATAAATGACACACAAATTTCCCTTTTTACCAAATACATTTTAGTTCCCCAAATAGTTTTTAAAAAATTCTTAACTTGAGCATCATGATCTCTGCATACTTGACCTTTCTGTACATTCCTCTGTTACCTTGCCTGTATTATTCTGTAATATGTCAGCTGCAGTCCGGCCAAATTCACCATCAATTTCCTTCCCCTGTCTCTTGCCTCCAGAGTTTCCTGCCCTCCCTTCTATGGGAGGCCCAAAACCGTGCTTCTTCGCAGGCGCAGCTCCAAACTTATTTTACTGCAGTCATTTATTTTTCTAGTTCTTTGAATCTCTTAGATCTATGTCTATATCTATCAGTCAATCATCCATCTGTCTGTAATTATATATAAAAAGTCCCTACCAAATGATTCATGCACTTAATTGTGTGTTCCCTTCAGAGTTTTATCCTTAGTTGTTTCTCTCCTGTTTTCTTTAGCTATTGGACATCAAGTGTTGGCATTAGATTTGGGTTCGTTTTCACTCATTTATTCTTTCATTAAAAATGTTCCACAGACTGGAAGAAAACATTTACGAAAGACATATCTGTCAAAGGACTGTTATCCAAAATATACAAAGAATGTTTAAAGCTCAGCAATAAGAAAATGAACAACTTGAAAATGGGCTTAAGGTCTGAACAGATGCCTCACCAAAGAAGATATACAAATAAGCGTATGAAAAGATGTTCCACCTTGTATGTCATTAGAGAATTGCAAATTAAAACAACGAAATACCACTACACACACCTATCAGAACGGCAGAAATCCGAAACACTGAGAATACCAAATGCCGGCAAGGATGCAAAGCCATAGGATCTCCCATGCATCATTGGTGGGAATGCAGAGTGGTACAGCCACTTCGGAAGACAGTTCTGCAGTTTCTTACCAAACTAAACATGTTCTTACCACACGACCAAACAATCTCACTCCTCGCTATTTACCCAGATGAGCTGAAAACTTATGCCTATGCAAAAACCTACACATGAATGTTTATAACAGCTTTATTCATAGTTGCCGAAACTTGGAAGTAACCTAGATGTCCTTCAATAGGTGCACGGATAAGTAAATTATGATACATCTATACAATGTAATATTATAAAGGATAAAAAGAAATGAGATATCAAACCACAAAAAGACATGGAGGAACCTTAAATGCTTAGTACTAAGTGAAAGAGGCCAATCCAAAAAGGCTACATAGTGTAAAGATTCCAACTCTATGACTTTCTGGAAAAGGTGAAACCCTGGAGACAATAAAAAGATCAGTGGTTGCCAGGGGTTAGAGTGAGTGAGGGATGAATAGGTGGAGCATAGATGATTTTTAGGTCAGGGAAACTACTCTGCATGATATTACAATAATGGATACATTTGTCAAAACCCGTAGAATGTACAGCACCAAGAGTGAACCTAATGTCAACAATGGACTTTGGGTGATAATACATGTCAATGTAGGTTCATCAGTTGGTGTTGGTCGTAGTGCAGACTGTGCGTGTGTGTCCGTGGGAGGAGGGTATGTGGGAACTCTGTGCTTTCCTCTCGGTTTTGCTGTGAATCTCACATGTCTCTAAAAAATAGTCTATTAATTTTTTAAAAATGTTCAGGCTTGCTTACATGCCAGGCATGAAGTAGCCACTTATCCCTGTCTAAAAACGATCACAGTTTAGTGAGGGAGACCAACATGTATATGATCAAAAATTGGTAAGGTAAGAGGTGTGCTCAGAATTCTTGTGAATGACCCATCTGAACTCTGGGCCTTTTGTTCCCTGACCTCACGGTCCACGTCATCCTCCTGTAATCCATTTTTTTCTTTACACTCTTTTAGAGACAGTGTCTCACTCTGTCACCCAGTCTAGAGTGCAGTGAGGTCATGATAACTCACTGCAACTTCAAACTTCTGGGCTCAAGCAATTCTCCCACCTCAGCCTCATAAGCAGCTGGGACTATGGGTGCATGCCCCCATTCTCAGCTAATGTTTCTTTCTATTTTTTGTAGAGATGGGGTCTTGCTATATTTCCCAGGCTGGTCTTGAACTTGTAGCCTTAAACAATCCTCCCACCTGGGCCTCCCAAAGTGCTGGGATTACAAGCATGAGCCACCACGCCCAGCCCCTTACTCCATTTCCGCCACTCTGTCCCATGGCCCCCCTTGCATTTTGTCCTCCCATGGAAGTCTTCCACCTCTGAAGTCCTAAGCCCGGTCTCTGCTCATTGTTCATATCTCCCTCTACCGGTTCCCCAACCCTCTCCAGCACTGTGACCCACCAGCTCTCTCCCATCCCGCAGCCCTTGCTGTCAGTCTCCTCTGCATCATGTTTGGGTTTCAGGATCCAGCCCTAAAGCCTGCTCCTATCAGTACCCTAAAACCTCCTTACCTTGTCCCCCTGTACCTTGTATGGGGAGTCCCACAAGAGAAAATCACCCAGTGAGACAGTGTGGCCATGGCACACCCATGGCAGGTCCTCTGCACCTTCGCGAGGTTGCAACTCCCTCTCAGCTCTCTGGCTGGAGCTCTCTGAGCTTCTGAAACTGGGTAGCAGACTCTGGCTCCAAAGACTGTATCTGGGAACAATTTCCTGCCTTCACCAGGTGTTAATGCAACCCCCACCCCATTGAAAGGGACCAGTGAAGCTCTTTATATGAAACACATTTCATGGTTGTGGATGGAATCGTTAACTGCCTCTTGCCAGTAAACCTCATTTAGTGGCTAAGGAGATCCAATGAACTGATGCTTCATTTGCTTCAATGACAGAAATCTGGGACTAAAACCTGGATTTTGTTTATATAGCACAGGAATGAGGAAAGAAAGAAACCTTAAAATCTTGTAGCCAGATATAGAGGGTTGCTAAAGGTAACTACTGTGCTGTCACGGTCTGTCATTTTAGAAACACGCAGATATTCTCTGTTTAAAAGTGGACAAACTTACCTTTCATTTCCTTTATTTATGTATTTTGCACAGAACTGAAGATGTCAAGGAGAATGTGCTGGCTGTTTTACTCATTGTCCTGGTCTCCCTCCTCGGATTCCTGACATTGAACCAAGGCTTTTGCAAAGATATGTGGGTGCTCCTCTTCTGCCTGGTCATGGCCAGCTGCCAGTATTCCCTGTTAAAGGCAAGGTCTCATCTAATTCTTACCAGTAACATGTGTTCTCAGTAATGTAGCCTTGAAATCATGAGATGATGACACAGACACTTCTGATTTGTGTTTTAGAGCGTTCAGCCTGACCCCGCCTCACCAATACACGTAAGTTTCCAAATGCAGGCAAGTGGCTTGTCTTGTCTGCCTGTGTTAAAGACAAGGGAAAAGGCCAAAATCTATTCAAAAGGCAAAATCTGTATCTATATATTGAATATAAAAAGTAGAAATATTAAATGGAAATACGAGTGCATGGTGGCCAAGCTCCAGTTGGATCTGAGAGCATGGTGTGGGTGGTACTGGGGGAGGGTCCGGTAGGGGTCGGAGAGTGTGTGGAGGGGGTTTCCTATTCCACCAGATCCATGCCAGGAAAGATCGAGCAGCTTGGTGGGGAAGACTGCAGACTATGCAATCAGACTCCCTGCCTTTGTTTCCGGATTCTTCCACTTGAGTTTCTGACACTGAGCAAGATACTGGTCTTCTCCGTGCCTCAGTTTCTCTGTGTGTAAATGAGGCTAATGAAAACACTTACGGGAATTTAATTCGCGTAATGTGTGTGCAGCATTTGCCTGGCACATAGAGATTGCTCAATAAATGTTAACTATTATTATCAGTAATATCAGTTATGTGGGCAATGAATCATTATTCTTATTTTTTAAATTTATCGTATATATTTATGGGAAAGCAGGTGATGTTTTGGTGTGTGTATACATTGTGGGATGATTAAATCAAGCTAATTAACATATCTAGCACCTCATATATTTGTCATTTTTTTTTCTGGTGAGAACATTTGAAATTTACTCTCAGCAATTTTCAAGTATATAGCACAGTGTTATTAACTGTAGTCACCATGCTATATAGTAGATTCCTCCTGTCTGACTGAAACTTTGTACCCTTTAACCAACCTTTCCTGATTCCCCACCCCACCTACTCCAGCCCCTGGGAACCACTATTCTAATCTCTGCTTCTATGAGTTTGGCTTTTTTGGATTTCATATGTAGGTGAGATCCTGCAATAATTTTCTTTCTGTGCCTGGTTTATTTCATTTAACCTAATGTCCTCAGGGTTCATCAATATTGTTGCAAATGACAGGATTACCTTCTTTTTAAAGGGTGAATAATATTCCATTGTATGTATATACCACATTTTCTTTGTCCATTCATCTCTTGATGGACACTCAGGTTGATTCCATGTCTTGGCAATTGTGACCAGAGCTGCAGTGAACACGGCAGATTTCTCTTTGACGTACTGATTTCATTTCCTTTGTATCTACACCCAGAAGTGGGGTTGCTGGGTCATATGGTAGTTGGATTTTTAATTATTTTGGGAAACCTCCATGCTGTTTGCTATGATTGTACGAATTTACATTCCTGTCAGCAGTGTACAAGGGTTCCCTTTTCTCCACTTTCGCACCAACACTTGCTATCTTTTGTCTTTTTGTTAAAAGACTTTTTCTTTTTTTTTTTGAGACAGAGTCTCACTCTATCACCCCGTCTAGAGTGCAGTGGTGCTCTGCATCATAGCTCACAGCAACCTCAAACTCCTGGGCTCAACTGATCTTCCTGCCTCAGCCCCCGAGTAGCTGGGATTACAGGCATGTGCCACCACATCCAGAAAATTTTTCTATTTCTTTTAGAGATGGGGGTCTCACTCTGGCTCAGGCTGGTCTCGAACTCCTGGCCTCAAGCAATCCTCCTACATAGGCCTCCCAAAGTGCTAGGATTACGGGTGTGGGCCACTGCACTCAGCCCATAAAAGACCCTTTAACAGGTGTGAGGTGATATCTCATTGTGCTTTGAAATTGCATTTCCCTGAATCATTATTCTTTTTACATTCTCTTCCTAGTCTACATTTTCAAGTGTATTGTTACCATTCATCCCCATAACTTTGGGCCAATTCATAATTATGACTCTGGGCTTACCAATACTGATATGTTGGTGCTCTGGCATCTTTCCATGAGCTCTGAAACACAGGCACATGGTTTTCTCTGAGCCTGCCGCCCCTTCGCCTTGTTTGTGGTGGTGTACAGGGTGCTGTGAGACAGGCACCACCCTGCAGTCACCCTGGCCCAAGTGGACTCCCCAGCTCTCCGAGCAACCTTCTTTCCTTGGTTGTGGCAAGCTCCTGTGGGTCCCCGGAAAACTCTTCCAATGAAAGAAAGCTTGATCTTCTCTCTATTGTGCTTTTAAAAAACTCATATTCAGGATTTAGGACTGATTTTAAATCTGTGATCACTCCTGTTTCACTCACAGTAATTAAGAAAAGCTTATAATTGGACGATCACATGGTGTACATTGCTATCTTGTTAAATTCCTCTGTTCCCCATAATTGGTTTACATGTAATACATCTTCTTTTATCCTGGAGTCTGAATGTCAAGATAAGTAGAAGCAGCATAATTAGGGTATTGAGATGTATTGTTATGATCATCATCAGAAATCTGGGTTAGGTGGTGGGGGCAGAGATGTGCGGCTTTGAAGAGTTTTGTTCAAGCCCACCCGAGGTGCCACATCACCACCTTCCTGCTTCGGGAAACCTTCCTTGCTCGTTACTACACTTCAGTGTCACTGTTTTTCTGGGTGACTTGGGGGAGGGGTAGTCTATGCTATTAAATGTTCCTTTCCTGCGTGTCGTTTCAGAAATAATGCAGAACACGCTAGTACAGGTGGATGGCAAGTAGTGCTGTGTAATCCTTGTGGATCGTAATGCCCGTTACCATGGCCCCTGTGCTGCTCTGCTCTAAGTTGGAGTTACATTGTCTAGTTCCTAGAGAAATGGTTCAAGCTGCTGTCCTTTTATCTGAGCAAGCGTGCCATAGTGAGACATTACTTTTCTTACTGTCGCAGTAAACATAGACATCTAACTATGTTTATTGCAGTGATTAATTTGCTTACACAGATTTTTAAGTAGATTAGTCTCTAATTTGAGTTGGTGTTTCTCCAGTAGTGCTAATGAAGAAACAAAATATGGTAGCTATAAAATATTTCCTGTTGCAATATGGCCAAACCATGTGGATATTTAGAAGGCAGATTTATTATCTCTTGTTTATAGATGAAAAAACTTCAGATAGGAGATGGTCAAGAGTGTGACCAAAGGTTTGGGGCACAGAGACAGTTCTCAGGCCTGCTGTCTCCAGTCCTGGCTCATTTTCATTCACAAGGGACTGTCAAATGAACCAGATTGCGTTTCAAACCACGCCATTTTGTGCTTTTGTCAGGAGGTGGTTAATAAATAAATTCAGCCAATTCTTGCTCTTAGAGTGATTGACTTATTTTTTCTTTTTTCCTTGCTTCCAGGAGCACAGGTGGCAAATTTTGAGCAAGTTGTTAACACCAGAAGAGACTAAAATGAAAATAATTTTTTTTTTGCATGACACTTGGTATATTTGAGTTTTACATACAGAATTAATAATGTGATAGATATGGTACAGTAGCCCCTGGGCCTAAAAGAAATTAGTCTGATTGTAAAAGAACAAAGGAAGTATAAATGGGTAGAGCTGTCAAAGTTGTTTCATAAAAACACCTTAAGTTGTGTTCTTTCAGTATAGTCTGTTTGCATATTAAACACATATGATACTGGGCACAGTGGCTCACGCCTGTAGTCCTAGCACTTTGGGAGGCCGAGGTGGGAGGATTGCTTGAGGCCAGGAGTTTGAGGTTGCAGTGACCTATGATCGTGCCACTGCACTCCAGCCTGGGTGACAGAGCGAGACTCTGCCTCATTAAAAAATAAATAAATAAGAATAAAAGAAAAGAAAACAGCTCTGGGAGAGCTTAGAAAGGTTAGGGGTTGGAGTGAATACTGGAAGCAATCTGAGGATCAGAGACTAGCAATATAGTAATGGGGTATGAGGATATTAATTTGCTTACATGGATTTACATACAGGTCTAACTAACAGTAACCACTCATGATAACCCAGAAAGCAAAATTCAGTAGAGTTTCTGAGAGGCAGCAATGAACTGAAGCAGTGTGCATGGGGATCGCTTCTACGAGCCAGAGTCTGAACCTGATTTCCCCCTAGAGCTGGGGCAGCACCCGGGAATCTGCATTTATGTACATCCCAGGGTGATCATGGTGGGGGTGATTTCACATCACACATTGAGAAACAGTGGGGTAACTGAAAGCACGCAGGTTTCAAGTTTGAATCCAGACTTACCATGTACAAGCTGTGGGGTCTTAGAAAACTTACTTCATTGAATCTTAGCTTTTTCTGCAAAAGAACAATAATAAAACAGGATTATAAGAGAATGAAACAAGGTAATTCCTCTGAGTGTTTAGCATAGTATCTGGCCCTGAAGCGCCTAGCAAATGTTAGTAGTATTTTTGTATGTTTGCAAAATATGGATAATCATGACAACCTCAGGTGGATTGAGTAGAGTGCACGGGGCAATTTTTATAATATGCCCAGTGCATGTTCTCGAGCATACCTAGTCCTCTGTAAGTGTTTCCTTCCACTCTGCATGTTTGTCTTGACTCCTTGCTGACAGTGCAAACTCTAAAGAGCAAGGGCTGCAACTTGTCATGTGTTCTAGCTTATTAATGGTTGTTATAATTCAATGAAGACATCCGGTGTCCAATTCAGGTTATATAGAAATCATTGCAAGTGATTTTTATAAACTTTATTTTAGAATGGTTTTAGATTTACATAAAAAATTGGGAAGAGGGTACAGAGAACCCCCATACCCAGTTCCTCTATATTAACCTCTTACATTGTTCTTCAAGACTTAGCTTGGACTCTGGGCCAAACATAGCCAGCCTCTGTGGACAGACTGTTTTCCTTCCTGTTAAAAGATCATCTCAGAATAGGACTATTTCTATTATAGAAGCAGTGGCAATTTAAATTGCATTTCTAAATATAATATGTTCAAGGCAGTAACTTTAAAAATCCATATCTGAAACCATACCACTTTAATATTTACTTTTTACACTCAACGTAGTTCGTGAATTGCAAAAACTATTTTCCCCCTAATTCGTTTTTGTTGGTTTTTTGAATCTTATGAATTGTGCATTGATTTGTGAGATGTAAATTCTCTGTTGATTTTGCCCTAGAAAGTTGATGTTGTAGCTTTTTCTTAATTTTTCTACCCAAGAAGAATAAAAAGTGTTTCTGCTTCTCCTCATAACAATATTTTGAGTGCTAAGATGAAGTCTGCTAAATATTTGGTACCTCTCAGAGGAAAGTGCTGTATATGTAGTATAAATAACAAGTTTTTTAAATCGAATCATTCCACTGTGCTATACTAAGACGTTTTATGCAATCTCTGCAGGTATAAGTTTGCACCGGTATTGTCTTGCTTTCTAAGACACTAGGAAATTGAAGCCCACAGCGTATAATTCTGTTTCTTATTACTAGTGGAGCCCAAGTGTAGAGCAAATAACGGTTTAAATTAGTTTTGCACTTGAAATGAACAAAATGAATGGAAGTTGCACTGTTGGGGAAAGCATTGAATTAGATCTAGATTTTTTCCAAGGATGGTAATTAAATTTTTAGGTAAATCTTGTTGAGTTGAGAAGCATAACATTCTTTTTGATATTCTCATTCTGATTTAACAGAATAAGCATCAGGCTTTTTTCTTTTTCTCTCTGGTATTTTGTGTGAATGAATTGTGGTAAGAGAGGGGGGAGAATGTGTTATATGGTATAAGTTGTATGATATGGTGTAAATTACTGACTGTGAGGCTTTTGACATTTAATCAAAATAAAAGGTACCATTCAGAAATTGTGTTTGTTTTCTAGGGACACAACCAAATCATAACATATAGCAGACCAATCTATTTTTGTGTGCTGTGTGGCCTTATTTTGCTTCTTGATACAGGGGCCAAAGCCAGGCACCCTCCCAGTTATGTTGTGTATGGCCTGAAGCTCTTCTCTCCTGTGTCCCTGCAGTCAGCTAGGGACTACTTAATAGGTGAGTTAACTTTGGGGTTATGGGGAAGAAACGGGGGGAAGGATATGTTTCCCTTTATCTTCTGAATCCTAACTGGAGAAGCCACCTTACTTGATTATTGGATGAAGAGATGTGCATTTCCCTCTTGGCTTGTACTTCTACAGAAGACTGTCTGGGAGCCTGAACCCCAAAGCATTCAATAATGGAATTAATTTAAAGGATTTCGATATCCATGACCAAGGCGTTACAGCACTGTGATATCTGAAGAATGGCTGGGGTGATTTTGCCACCAAAGTGGCAGGATGAACAGGCATGACTCTCAGTCCAGGTGGAGTCCTGGATTCTCAGGTCACCCTTTGCTTTTTTTACTGATACACTTTGCTTGCCTTAAGGTCTGTGTTTGATGTCAAATGCTCTGTTTAAACAAGTCACCTGCATATTGTAATGGTTTAGAGCCCTGGCTCTGGAGCTAGACCGCTGGCTGTTTGAATTCCAACTTTGCCACTTCACTAGATGTGTGACCTCAAGCAAAATTCCACTGTAATATGGGGACAAAATATTTCCCATCTCAGAAGTTGTTGCAAGTTTTAAATGAGTTAGTGTACTTGAACATACAGAAGGTTCCTGGCACCAGGCATTAGCTGTTATTGTCACTATTATGCACAGAGGCTGCCCCAGTATCGACCTGCAGCTCTGAAGTCTTGACTGCAGATGCTCAGAGAATTCCTGCAAAGACATCAAGGAGTTTACACACCTGCTAACTTGTAATTGGCTGTGATCTCATTGACCAACTGAGTTGATAAAGTGCAGCTACCAAAGACACCACTCCTGCATCTCTCTCTTGCCAGCTAGAAATCTTACTCAAGAGGAGACTGTCAAAGCCATAGGTCCCATATCATCCTTTCCACACCCCCTGCGATAGCTCCTTCAATCTCTCCAGTGGAGCTGGGGAGGGTGCCCAGATGTGGTGTAAGCTTTCTTTGGGCTCCTGATAGGTGAGCACCCTGGTATGCATTCTGCCCTCTGACTTCCTTCCCAACTACCATCTCCCCGTTTCTCTTTCTGCTGTATTGGTAGCAAACTGTTCACTCCCCCACATCCAACCCACCGCAAGCCTGCTTTTCTATGCTTCCTCAGCACTTCCCTTCCGGTCACATCGTGTGAGGAGCTGAGTAGCTTCTTAATGCTGAAGAGTTAGGCACCACGTTTCAGAGAATCTCTGACTTCAATTAGGAAACAGAAACATGTTGGAAAAAAAAATAAGAACAGATCCCATGGTTTGACTCCCACTCAGTGCTCGAGAATATTTGTTTCTACCCTTCCTGATATTTTTCACTTTACTTTTTTTTAAAAAATCTCATCTGATGCTCTGTTGGTTGGAACACACACACCTACAACAAGAAAGGCTTTCAGTCATTTTTACCTTCTTATAACTTAGCTCACCCATCTTCCTCCTTCAGTCAGTTGCAATGAAGGAGTCAGAATTTGAGTGGACAAAATGTCTGGTCATAACTGCACACTGTAGAGTTCCATCCTTCCCTGTCATCTTCTTTTTGCAGACAGCAGTGCTGGGGTCCAGAGCTCAAGGGCATAAGGTTAGGGTTAGGGATCTGGGATTAGAGGTGGAGAGGGCATAAAAGGATTCTGGAAGATGTTCAGGAAACATTTCTCTACATCAAAGTGTTGCCTTTTCCCCCTCCACACCCCACACTCCATCTTGGGTACTTCATGGCCATGTTTTGCCCAGGTCATGGGCGTGGGTTAGTGTTGGTAGAGTGCCACCTCTCATAGGTCATGAGGATCTGTGGCCTCTTCTCATCTGCTCCCCGCATCTGTGTTCCTTCTGCTCAAAAGCTGTTCCACTGCCCCCCACCCTTAACCATGCCAGCTAACGACACCTCATTTCCCTAAGTTTGGTCCCATCTTCCATCCTTTGGCAACCCATAATTTTCATAGCCCTTAACCTGTTTCGTAGCAGCCTGCTTATGTTTGTGATATCTGATCAATGTCTGTCTCCCTCACCAGCTTATCTGCGCAGTGAAGGCAAGGCAAAGACCCTGCCTGCTTTCTCTCCACTGAATCCTCAGTGGTGTCTGGTATCTACAGGCACTAAATAAACATACATTGGACGGATGAACTCATGAACATAAGGCTATGCTTTAAGTACTAAAGAGATTAATGTACAAAGGAACTTTTCGAATGCTTCCCATTCATAAATCAGAGAAGGCTATAGTCAATTTGCACTGTTTAACTCAGCCCTTAGAATAAGTTGGGACTTAATAAGGACATTTTGCCAATGATCTGTGGAAAGATACTTGGGGGAAGAAGAGCATGACGTATATTCCATTGACAAATTGCTTTTCTGTACTTAGGTCTCTCCTTCATTCCTTTTTTTTTTTTTTTAATTTGCTACTATAAAAAAGTCAACTCTGTTGAATAAGTGTAGTTGTCTTGGCATGGCAAACTTACAAATGGTATTAGAATGTGAGATGTTATTGAAGCTCAAAAAGTAAGACATTAATGTATTGGGGAAAAGCCTGAGATTTTACTTTTAGCAATAACTCTTGTTCTAGAATATGTTACTAGCTATGCACAATCTAATTTTGTTTTTCTTCAAGTTACATTAGGGACTGGAGAGGGAGCATTCTTATCTTTTTAACTGGAATTCCCTTTCCCTCCTGAAAACTTCTCCCTAATATATATTTTTGTCTGCTTGTCAACACTGACAAGTAAAAATGTTGATAAATATTCCAGCAAGCCAACTAAATGACTTATAGGGTAAAGATAAATAGAAAAATAGAACAATAGCAATCCCTGTGGAATGAACGTGTTAAACATACTAATTTGCACTGAGCAAGAAAAGGTTGTGAAACAGATTTAGAACACATGGAAAAGAGAGGGAGGAGATAGAGGCTAATACTATTTTCCTGACTTCATGAAGGAAAACAAGGGCAATTCAAAGTCATTTTTAATTTGTGCAACTTCTTCTCCCTCTGTTTCTTCAGCTGACAAGGGATCTAAGTAGTCTGCAGCTGCTGCCTTTGTTACATTAAGGGACTAGCAAGAAGAGAGAAAAAATTAGGAGAAAACAAAAGATTAGGAGGAAAATGGAGTATATTTGTTTCCTAGGGCTGCTATAACAAATTACCAAAAACTGGGTGGCTCCAAACATGAGAATTTGTTGTCTCATGGCTCTGGAAGCAAAGTCCGAAATCAGGGTGTAGGCAGGGCAACGCCGTCCCCAACGGTTCTGGAGAAGGGCCTGTCCAGGTCTTTCTCTTTGACTCGTAGATGGTTGTCCTTCCACTGTGTCTTCACACAGTCTTCCCTCTGTGTGTCTCTGTGTTCAAATGTCCCCCCTTTTTATAAGGACACTAGTCATGTTGGAGGAGGGCCCAGGTGGACCCTAATGTGCTCAGCTTAGCTTGTTCATCTGCCAAGACCTTATTCCAAATAAGGTCATGTTCACAGCTATGGGAGGCAGGGTTAGGACTTCAACATCTTCTGTGGGAACACAATTCAACGCATAACAAGGACCATGTAGGAAAAAGGACAAGAGAGAAGCAAGAACTAAGTACATGTGACATTGTTACCATCTTGTGGCCAAAGGTGCTATTGTGCCTTCCACACCGCATTGGGTGGAACTGGTCCTCCTTTGGCAGGTGCCAGGGAACCTGAAATATTTCCTAGAGCAGGGCCTTATTAGTGGTATTTCTGTTACGTGCTGCCACCTTTGGTTTCTGCTTAGCGCCATCACCCTGTCAGAGGAGGAGGAGGAGGCAGAGGGAGAGGAACAGGAAAGGAGCGAGGACAGTCCCTGGGCAGAAAGAGTTGAGTGCCTGAGCCAGTGGTAGGTGGTGAGTCAAGTGGACACTCTGCAGGTGGGAAAGAAGGAGAAGCTCCTTGTCATATTTAATGCAAAGAGAGGAGCATCTCAAAGGCAAGAAGCCAATGTCAGATAATAGAACAATAAAAGGAGGAAAATTAAGGTGAATGAAGAATGTATAAACGTTGAGGACAATATGTAATTTCTTTTTCTTTTATTATCATATATATTCAGAATGTCATGTTTTTCACTTTCATTATAAGGAAAAAATCTTTATTTTTATTTCTAGGAGTAAGGTGAAAGTCCTTCTTACCATTCACTTCATGGGCTCATTCAGCAGTTAGTGACTTCTGGGCTGGAATTTTTATTACTTTCCATTTGGGTAACCAGCAAAAGCCTCTGAGTGAGACTGGCTTTGTAATTATCCTATGGGTGAGAAAGCCAAGAGGTCTTCAGTTCTTAGTACCATAGGAGCAGTAGCAAAGCCAGAGCATGCCTGGAGGAGTATAGCCACATGGGCTACACTGGTCTGGACACTGGTTAGTAGAACTGGGGATGTCCAGCCCAGAGAAGAAACACTTGGGTGCTAGACATACACAGATGTGATAGCTTCAGGTCATTAAAAGGCTGCCAGGAGACCAGCCTGGGCAATATAGCCAGAGTCTGTTTAAAAAAAAAAAAAAATACTACTAGGTTGAAGGGAGAAGGTTGTATCCATAATAACTAGACCCAGCAGATAGTAGGTAGATTCCAGCTCAGTGCAAGGAAGACCTGTAAAATGGTTTGGGTTACAGCTGTCCTATTCTGGAGTAAGTTGCTTAGCGAAGCAAGGAGTTCCCTGGCATGGAAACAGTTCAGGCAAGATGAAACTGGCCATTATTTGTAGCCCGGGTCCATGCACTTGATGGGTTCTTTAAATTCCTACCTAGGATAATGCAGCTTCAATAATGTAACCCTTATAAGTGGCGATTTTGTGACTAGGTACTGCATCATACCCACCCTTCCCTGAACACTCAGACCTCCATTTTCTATGTCTTATACAAAGGCTTGTTTCCTGGCCTCAGTAGTCCATAACAGGACAATGAGTTAATACACAGATAGTGCACATTGAAGACATACAATGTATGCATTCTCATCGACTCCATACGTTTTAGTTTTAGTTCCACATTTTCATTCTACATGCTTGGCACCCCAAACCTGCAAATTCATATTATTCACATTTAACAAAAAATAAGCTTAAGTTATAATAGTTTTATTTATGAATTTTGCTTTAAAAGAACTGTACCAGAAGTTTCTGCATTGATGATAATTATTATTAAGGAAAATAAGGAGTTAGGAAGAAGTGAAAGAAAATTATAGACCCACTCAGTGGTGTGCTAACAAAAAATGTTTGTTCACAGGAAAATTGCAAACAACCACAGGGACTTTTTTATTTTTTGCTTTTGGAAAAAAGGACAGAATAATTTCAGCAATTTTAAGTGTAGTTCTTCAAAAGCCCTGCTAACGTAACAAGCATTTGACTGCTGTCTCATTCCCGTTTTCTGCAATCTGATGGATGAGAAACATGAACTCCACCTTCCCCTCCTTCCACTTCCACAGCTTTTATTTTAAAGACTAGAGTTTTCCTGCTCCAATATATTTTGGAGAAGATCTAGTGCGTGGACCTCCCTGTTGACTGCTATTTGATTAAATTCCAATTCTGCACTCATAGCCAGAGCATCTTCAGTGATTACTTTCTGGTGTCTCTTACCATTTTATTTTCCTCATGCCATTATTTATTATGTTCCAATTCTTTTCATTTTAGTTTTTGTTGCATTGGCTAATGTATTTCTTATAGAGAATACCACCTTACCTGTGATTTGCTGAATAGCTTCGAATATTTGGCTTCCTTTTAATGTCATTCCACATGCAGACTCTTCCCTGTAGTTCTTCATTCTCAGTGTAGTTTTTTTCTCTCTCTACACACACACACACACACACACACACACACACACAGACACACACACACACACACCACAGAGCACAGTGGAGGGCAAACTAATAAAATCTCATTGCACCTTCCTTCCGCCCTTGTCCTGGAATTGGAAGGTATAGCATAGCATAAAATCATTACCGGGTTTTGAGCCCTAAAGTTAAGAGAAGAGGAAATACTCAGTTTGCTTGAAAGTTTATGGATTACCATTTTGATGCTCATGACTTACATGTTCTGTAATTAAATTTCTGTTTATTTCTTATATCTTTCATATCTCTGAGTTCCATTTAAAAAAACTGGAAAATAAATTGTCTTATATAATTATGTCTGGTATATCAGTATTGTGTCTTATTGCCTACTTTGAGTGAGAAAACCTGCATTTGGATGCTTTACTTTTATACAATATTGTTGAAATCTTGCCACAAATGTCATTACAGCAAAATCCCCATGTGTATCAAAACATGGCTCCAACTCCAAGCAAAGGTCCCATCATCATAGCCGTGTTCATTGCAGAAAATTTTACTTTCACAAAGAGTTGGAACAGTTCTGTAGTACTGTGTCCCATACTTGATTTTAAGCAACTATTATAACAAAGACATCTTTTGTGGGAACACCATTCAATCCATAACAAGGAGCATTTAAGAAAAAAGACACGAGAGAAGGAAAAACTAAGTACATGTGACATTGTTTACCCTCTTGTGGCCAAGGGTGGTGCCTATTTTAAGCAAATAATATTAACCAACTGTTTTAACCAAATATTAAAAGAGAATGGGACATACAAAAACTTTCATTCCTGTAAATTCACTATGGAAAATTTGCATTTTCTATTTTTCAGAAATAGCTGGAACACACTCCCTTGTCATCCCCACTCCCATTTTCCACTGTGGTTTTATGTACAGTGTTAGGACAGAGTTCTAATGTCTAGACATACTGGATTTCAAATCAAATTTCCTTAGTTTTATTAAGGTTTGCCAGCATCAAACTATATTGACATTCTATCCAGACGGAAAGGAGGACAGATGTATTACAGCACTGCTAACGGGAGTTTCTGTGAAACCCAACTCGGATAGAACTAAGCAAGAGAGAATGATAGGAAAGTTGCTGTAAAACGCAGCTTCACTACTTTGTTTCTCCCTCTGACAAATTATTTCTCTGAAACATTGCGTTATAACCACAAATGTTTTCACCAGATGTGCAATTGCATTGTTATGACGCCGGGAGGTCGTGCAATCTCCCTCTCCTCACCTGGGCCACTTTCTTCTACCGGATGATACCATCCACCTTAGAGTCAGCGTCTCATCCCACAGTGCGCTGCAGTTACTTAGCCCATTCTCACTCTCCCTGGTCCTCTGTGAGAGTCTTGAGCTCTGCCTTAATTCTCAGTCTCCAATCAGTGTTTAGAATGTACTAGACTCTTAGCCACCCAAGTTCCTGAGATGAGAAGCACAAAGCAAGGAGCCCCCTCAGGCCCAATATTTGTTCCCCTCTCCCATGCAAGAAGGGATTCTGGTAACTCCTGTCCTGGGTTTTTGCACGTTCCTGCACTTTTCCCAATTTCCTTTCTCCCACCCTCGTCTCTCCCAAGTCCAAGTCCATCGTCTCAAACTAGACAGTCTACTCTCACTCACCGTCGCTGAGGTCTGTGCTCAGTCCTGGCCTGTCTGCAATCCTTTCCTCAGGACCCCACAGGCTCCATCTCGGCTTCCAGTTTCCTGGGGTGAGAGGAGTGTAGGATTGCCCCCAGTGTTCCTGGGTGGGGTGGCCTGGAGGGGTGGGCGGCATCACATCAGGAACCTTGGTGACAGACAGTAACTGCCTGCTTCTCATCAATTTTGTTTGTTCATTTTCAGTATTTCTATATTGCTTCCCTGCAATTTCCCTCCTTGGGCTCTTCCCGCAAATCAACACTTTCTGCATTTATCTTTTGGAACAAATTGACATGCTGTTTTTTGGAGGTTCTGGTAAGTCGTTTATGTTCTACTTTTCCTGTAAAGGGGCTATAGCTCAGATAAGGACTAAATGGCCTTGGGCAGGGGATGAGGGGCTGGATAGTTGGATGTTCTTTGTCCTGAGCATTTAAAGGACATCAGTTGGGTCAGGAAGAATAATGATGTGTGCATCTGCATTCATTCAGCCAAATTGGAAGTGGTCCACCTAGCTTAGTTGAACATAAGCAAAGAAACAAGGAAGTGTAGAATTCTCTGCAATTTGGAATAGGTTTGGCACCCTTCAAACAGTGCCTTAGAAAAACAGTCTGTGTGTGAATGTGTGTGAGTGTGTGTGAGTGGTTGTGTGTGCACATGTGTATTTGAGCATGTACGTGTATAAGCCTGGGAGTGTATCAGTGTGAGCCTGTGTGTGTGTGCCTGCAGAGACAGGTGCCCTGTATCCCTAAACCATCACTGTGACTCTTTTTTAATGTAGTACTTTAGATTGAGACCAAGATGGGTAAAATCTCACCTAATACTTACCTGGAGATACTGTGCAGGTTGTTCAACTTTTCAGCCTACTGTTCTCTAAATGGAAGTAAACATGCTCACCTCATAGGGTTGCTGTAAGGATTAAATGAAATAATGCACATAAGGCAATTACTCTTACCACTCCTGTTACACACACACACACACACACACACACACACACACACACACACACTACATGGGAGCACTTGCACATTCCCTTCCCTTCCCTTCTTTCCTCCCTTCTCCCGCCCTCCTCCTCCTCTGTCCCCTTTCTTCTGTTAAAGTTGCCATTCAGATCTTCTCCTTGGCCAGCAGCTTTCCACTGTAAGCCATGAGGTCTCCCATCTTCCTTATGAAACATTCACAGTCTTTTAAGAACATTGTAAAGGTTCTTCCTATTTTCCTCTTGAATTTTTAATTAAATTGGTTAGTCTCTTTCTTGCCCTGTGAGTCACCCAGTGCCTTTGTCGGGTCCCCTGGATTTATTCTTTGCCCCCTTAGGTGGCATCTTGTACTTGAAAGCTACAACCATTTCTTTGCTTTCTTACTACGTTTGTTGATTGTGAAAATGGCCAGTCTAGAAAAGAACTGTTGACGTTTGTGTTGCAGCCGTGTCTGGGATAACCTCGGCTGTGTACAGCGTAGCCCGGAGTGTCCTGGCTGCTGCCCTGCTCCACGCGGTTTGCTTCAACGCAGTGAAGGTAGGTGTGAGGAACGTGGGCCTTCATCCTTCTTCTCGAATTCAGTACATCAACTTCTTTTTAAAAGTAAATGAATGTTTTCTCCAATTGCAAAAGAAATGAGATCTGAGCAGATCAGGGAGTGACTGGGCCCAGCTGAACCTCAGTGGTGTCAGGAGACAGGTCGAGATGCCTGGTTTGCCCCGGTGCTGGTGGCCGGGCCTCTCCTCTGCAGATGTCCTGCTGCCAAGGTCAGGCACTGGCACTGGGAGGGCTTCTGCTTAACAGGGTGATCGGTGGAGCCCATGTGTTTGCCTTCACGTCCTGAAATACCGCTCAAAACATGGTAAAGGGATACAATTGCATAAAGCTATATGGACAAGGGAACAGGAGAGGATACAACAGCCACAGAATGTTAGAATCTAGAAAACAGACGGACTGTGGACTAATCCAGATGGAGAAAATGGAAACCTAGCCTGGTGGCAAGGGAAGCCTAAGAGGATAAAAAAACAAGACAAACACTGACTGAAGGAAGACAAAAGGCTGTATCAGAAAAGAAATGTAGCTATTGTACTTCAATGGTTCAGCTGGTATTTATGGTGATCTGAGTGGTCGTCCTGGTGGATCTGTCACGGAAGAATGGGGAGGTGGAGAGTGTTGGCGGAGCTCAAATCCTGTCTTCCATGTTAGAAAGTCAGCAACTAATATCTAAAAGTGAAAAACACTCAAGAAGTAGCAAAGCAAGCATGTTATTTGGCAATGTGGAGGTAAACAGAAGGAAAAACAGCTGAAAGTCACTGCGTAGAGGAAGCAGGAATCGGGGCAGGGGAGATGACAGAGGTTCATTTCCATTGTAGAACTACAGGGTGGCCATGAGGTCTGAAAACAGTTGCACACATAGTGTCAGGGCATCTTCAATCAGTAAAATTATGTTAATATTATACATATTTCTGGACTTTGTAGAAACCCTGCACTTAACGTTTTAAACTACAGGTATTTCTTTGATAAAATAAAAACTGAATGTAAAAGAGTACATTACTATCATATATGTTCCAAAGTATTTTTAATATAAATCACACGAACATTTCTTAACTAACGTTTTCAAAAGATTAACTTAAAATCTTATTAAACTGATCAGTGTCAGTGGCAGAACATTAATTGTTTATTTCCCTTTGTGGAAGGGAAAGCATTCAACATTCATATATCCCAATGCTTCACAGTTTAATCAATTTATCTGTAGTAATGAATGCAGTAATTCCTTCCCTCTTTCCTTCCATCCCTTCTATATAGATCTTTTCTTTCAGGAAAAAAAGGGTGGCTGAGGAGAAGGTTCCTTTTTCTAATACACAAAGGTAATTTATGTGCTCATGGTGGTCATGTTTGTTACCACATTTATACCATCATGTAGACCAGCAATTATATAATCAGTGTTGCTGGTATTCTTTCTTTTGACCTACATTCCTTTATTTAATCACAGGACCCCAGGTATTTCATTCCATTCAGGAAAAGTACATAGATGGGTATTTTCTGAGTTCTTGTACTTTTTTTTTTAGTTATTTATAGTTTTATTTTATTTTTAATTATTACAGGTACATATTAGTTGTATATCTTTATGAGTCCTTGTACTTCTGAGAGCATGTTTCTACTGTCTTTTGGGAACCTTAATATATTGCTCTGTTGTGGTTCCAGTATTTGTTTGTTTGTTAGTTATTTGTTATTATTCCTTTGTTAAGTTTTTAAAGTCAGGCTAAAAATCTTTTTAAAATATCCAGTTTGGTAAGTTTTGATAAATACATGTAGTCATGTAAAGAACCCCATAATCAAGTTATAGAATATTTCCAACAACTTGAAAAATTCCCTCGAATCCCTTAGTAGTCAATTTCTTCCCTCACTCTCAACCTTTGGCCACCATTGATCTGATTTCTGTCCTTGAAACTTTATTGGAATCCAATATGTGCAGGCATAAAGTATATACAATAAAATTCACTAATTTCAAGTGTACAGTTAACTGTATATTGACAAATGTGTATGGTCAAATAATTACCATCACATCATCATAAAGAACAATTTCACCATCCAAAAATTTTTTTCATGATCCTTTGCAGGCAGTCCTTTCTCCACACCATGTTTTATTTATCTTGAGTGAACACCTAAGAGTGAGGTTGTTGGAGTAAATGGTAGGTCTCTATTTAACTTTATAGGAAACTGCCAAACTGTTGTCAAGTTTCTGTTCCATTTTTCATTTCCCCACCACCCACATAACCTTTGAAATTTCCAGGTATTCCAAATTCTTGCCATCACTTCATACTGTCAGTTTTAAAAAAAATAATAGCCATTCTAATATGGACCAGTATCTAACTGTGGTATTAATTTGCATTCTCTGATAATGAATAGTGTTAAACATCTTTTCACATGCTTACTTGACATTTGTGTATCTTCATTTGTGAAAAATCTGTTTAAGTCTTTTCTCCATTTTAAATCATATTATATGCCTTATTATTGAGACAAAAGTAAGTTTTAGAATATGTTTGTCAATTCCTACCAATGTTGCAGAAATTTTGACTGGGATTGTGATGAATTTATAGATCAATTTGTGGAGAACTGACATCTTAACAATATTGAGTTTTTTGATCCATGAACATGGGTACTCCATTTATATGGGCCTTTGTTAATTTCTCTTGGGAATATTTTACACTTTTCAATCCACAACCCACAATTACTACACATTTTGTAAGTTTTATGCTATTGTAAGTGGAACTGTGCTTTATAATTTGACTTTTTTTTTTTTTTTGAGACAGAGTCTCACTCTGTTGCCCTGGCTAGAGTGAGTGCCGTGGCGTTAGCCTAGCTCACAGCAACCTCAAACTCCTGGGCTCAAGCGATCCTACTGCCTCAGCCTTCCGAGTAGCTGGGACTACAGGCATGCACCACCATGCCCGGCTAATTTTTTCTATAAATTTTTAGTTGTTCAGATAATTTCTTTCTATTTTTTTAATAGAGATGGGGTCTCGCTCTTGCTCAGGGTCGTCTCGAACTGCTGAGCTTAAACAATCCGCCCGCCTCGGCCTCCCAGAGTGCTAGGATTACAGGCGTGAGCCACTGTGCCCAGCCCTATAATTTGACTTTTAATTTGTTTATTGATCGTATATATAATTGATATTTTAATATTTCTGCTTGTATCTTGCAAGACAAACCTTGCTAAACAAACTTATCAGTTCTAGTAGCTTTTTAGTAACTTGAGATTTTCTACCATAGATGGTTATGTCTGACAGTAAACACAGTTTTATTTTCAGCCTTTGATTTCTTTTTCTTGCTTTATTGCACTGGGTAGGACCTCCACAGCAATGTTGACTAGAAGTGCTGAAATCAGACATATTTTCCTTGTCCCCAATCTTTGGGGACATGTTTTTCACCATTGAGTATGATTTGAGCTTTGGGATTTTTCTAGATTCCCTTTAATGAACTGAGTAATTT